GAATCCCACCGTGGCCGGGCATAATTTTCAAGCTCGCCCGGTGTGGATATACACTCAGAGTAACACCACAAATATCATATTCAACTGAGTACACTACACCAACACAGAAAAAAATCTATATTACTAGAATACATTGTATCGAAGGAACTAGATTCTGTTCCGAAATATCACTTACTCGAACCGTCCTGACCGCGTAGCTCAGTTGGAAGAGCATTGGGCTAGTATTCCAAAGGTCGTAGGTAGTAATCCCACCGTGGCCGGGCATATTTTTCAAGCTCGCCCGGTGTGGATATGCACTCAGAGTAACATCGCAAACACATTATTCACCTGAGTACACAACACCACCACAGAAAAAATCATATTACTAGAACACATTGGTATTGAAGGAACTAGATACTGTTGCGAAATATCACTTACTCGAACCGTCCTGACCGCGTAGCTCAGCTGGAAGAGCATTGGGCTAGTATTCCAAAGGTCGTAGGTTCGAATCCCACCGTGGCCGGGCATAATTTTCAAGCTCGCCCGGTGTGGATATACACTCAGAGTAACACCACAAATATCATATTCAACTGAGTACACTACACCAACACAGAAAAAAATCTATATTACTAGAATACATTGTATCGAAGGAACTAGATTCTGTTCCGAAATATCACTTACTCGAACCGTCCTGACCGCGTAGCTCAGTTGGAAGAGCATTGGGCTAGCATTCCAAAGGTCGTAGGTTCGAATCCCACCGTGGCCGGGCATATTTTTCAAGCTCGCCCGGTGTGGATATACACTCAGAGCAACACCACAAATATCATATTCACCTGAGTACACTACACCAACACAGAAAAAATTCATATTACTAGAATACATTGGTATCGAAGGAACTAGATTCTGTTCCGAAATATCACTTACTCGAACCGTCCTGACCGCGTAGCTCAGTTGGAAGAGCATTGGGCTAGTATTCCAAAGGTCGTAGGTTCGAATCCCACCGTGGCCGGGCATATTTTCAAGCTCGCCCGGTGTGGATATGCACCCAGAGTAACATGGCAAACATATTATTCACCTGAGTACACAACACCAACACAGAGAAAAAAAAAATTCATATTACTAGAACATATTGGTATTGAAGGAACCAGATACTGTTCCGAAATATCACTTACTCAAACCGTCCTGACCGCGTAGCTCAGTTCGAAGAGCATTGGGCTAGTATTCCAAAGGTCATAGGTTCGAATCCCACCGTGGCCGGGCATATTTTTCAAGCTCGCCCGGTGTGGATATACACTCAGAGTAACACCACAAATATCATATTCACCTGAGTACACTACACCAACACAGAAAAAAAAAATCATATTACTAGAATACCTTTGGTATTGAAGGAACTAGATACTGTTCCGAAATATCACTTACTCGAACCGTCCTGACCGCGTAGCTCAGTTGGAAGAGCATTGGGCTAGTATTCCAAAGGTCGTAGGTTCGAATCCCACCGTGGCCGGGCATATTTTTCAAGCTCGCCCGGTGTGGATATATACTCAGAGTAACACCACAAATATCATATTCACCTGAGTACACTACACCAACACAGAAAAAAATTCATATTACTAGAATACATTGGTATTGAAGGAACTAGATTCTGTTCCGAAATATCATTTACTCGAACCGTCCTGACCGCGTAGCTCAGTTGGAAGAGCATTGGGCTAGTATTCCAAAGGTCGTAGGTTCGAATCCCACCGTGGCCGGGCATATTTTTCAAGCTCGCCCGGTGTGGATATACACTCAGAGTAACACCACAAATATCATATTCACCTGAGTACACTACATCAACACAAAAAAAAAAAATTCATATTACTAGAATACATTGGTATCGAAGGAACTAGATTCTGTTCCGAAATATCACTTACTCGAACCGTCCTGACCGCGTAGCTCAGTTGGAAGAGCATTGGGCTAGTATTCCAAAGGTCGTAGGTTCGAATCCCACCGTGGCCGGGCATATTTTTCAAGCTCGCCCGGTGTGGATATACACTCAGAGTAACACCACAAATATCAAACTTACCTTCGTTAACGTCGGCTCCCTTCTTTTAGCTGATTCTTTCGCCCTTTCTTTCTTGAAATTTACAAAATCTTGCAGAAATACGAGCAAAAATGAAATATATTTGCAAGAAATTTATCAATCATCAAATCAAGAAATGTTTGCTATGTCGCTGTCGTCATGCAGTCGTTATAATGCAAACTTTAAATTGGACCAATCAGTGTCCGTTATTCATGACAATCCGCCATATTTTTGAGATCAGTGAGGATGACCACCCATCGTTGGTGACCGACGCCCGCGCTCATTGATGAACTTTAGACTTCGCTAATGCTTTCGTTTCCCCGGGTGTAAATAGCCGGGGGGAATTAGTACCCTCGCACGGCGCTTCACGCCGCCGGCTCGGGGATTAAACTGTCATTTGGCCAAAAAAGAAGAATGTTAATTAAACTTAAATTCGAATTGAATTGAATTGAATTTATTAATAAAATATAGACTTTGCAACCATAAAGATTGAAATACATCTATCATTTACAGGGTTGGTTGATTAGAAAAATATTGTATATTTACAAAAACGTATTTACTATAATATAGGAAGAGTTTAGAACTTCTGGTATGATATTACCATTATTTACAAATAAAAATGTATGTAATTTATAGTTACTCAATGTTTATTATAAATCGTTACAGACGAAGGAATGTACGAATTTTTGAAGCGATTTGTCCGACAATTAATTGGAACGAGTTTATTCGATGTGCGTAGATTATAGCTTGGATGTTCGGCTGGTTCAACTAGTTCGGAAAGAGGACTAGTTTGCGGAAGAACCTTTTTTCTAAAAATTTTTGAACATAACAGTTTGCACCTAGAATACAATGTTGGGATATTGAGATCTGATAAGGATCCTTTGTATGATGGCGATGGGTTAATTATTTTCAACGCTCTTGACTGGATCCTTTCTATTTCTTTGGATAGGTATTCAGGTATGTTATAATGCCAAACTTGGGCGCAATACTCCAAAATGGGTCTTACACATGAAAAATACACTATTATCAATGTTTTAGTGTCACAACGAGTTCGCTTGAGGAGTCTAAGCATGTAAAGGCGTTTTGCGGATTTTTTCACTATGTAAGCCACGTGGTCATTCCACTTTAGGTCGTCCTTGAAAATTAAGCCAAGGAGTTTAGCGGATTTCACAACTTCAATGGGCTGTTCGTCAACGATCATTGGAGGGAAATTTGGATTGTTTTTCCAAAAACAAACGAGGATTTCTTTGCATTTACGGGGGTTTAAGGACATGTTATTTCTTGCACACCACTGCATAATTCCTTCTAAAATAGTTTGAAAGTTCGAATCTTGGTTTCTAGAAAGGGTTTCTGAAACAGCCGAATCGTCAACATATTTCCATCTATCGTCCCAATCAACCAACAAATCGTTTATCATAATCATAAATAGAATCGGACCTAAGACAGTGCCTTGTGGAACCCCACCGTTCACTGGTTCGAAACTTGAGGTGTATTTACCTATCTTCACTCGCTGTTCCTGCCAGTAAGAAACTGTTTTACCCATGCGATAAGAACGGGATCGATGGCCATTTCCTCCATCTTCTTGATAAGCATGTATGGTGATCAATCTTGTCGAAGGCTTTACTAAAGTCCAGAAGCAGTACACGCACGCATTGGTCAGATTGGTCGGTAGTTCCATACAGATGATGAAAAAAGGATAGAAGAGCGTGAGTTGTAGATAAGCCGGCGAGTGATCCGAATTGCTTCCTGTCAACGAGGTGTCTGATCTGTGACATAATCCACTCTGCGACAAAATGTTCCAAGGTTTTTGGGAGAATTGGTGTTAGAGATATTGGGCGTAGATCATTTTCAATTTCCTTAACCTTATCTGTTTTACGAATAGGTATTACATCTGCTTCTTTCCATGAAACGGGTACGACTCTCTCTTGGATTGACGCGTTAAAAATTTCAGCAACGGGTGATGAGAGTTCCATGGCAAACTTATTTAAGACCCAACTTGGTAAGTTGTCAAGACCCGAGGCTTTAGTGCGTTTGTGATTGGAGAGCTTCGTAAAAACATCTTCAGGAGAAATGTGGTATTTTGAAATAATTTCGTTAACTACTGCAGGATCAGCTTCAAGATTTTCCAATTGGCTGTTTAGAGGTGGTAGAGGGTTTGTGATATACAGGAAGCTTTCGTTAATTTTTGTTGCTAATTCGGTTGAATGGAATTCTTTGCCCGATACAAAAACACTGGATACTGGTAATTTCTTAGGAAGTCCTCCAAGTTGTTTAATGGATTTCCACCAAGAAGCTACATTGTCACAGTTTTTTACCTTATTTGCAAAAAAGGAACTCCTAAGACTGTCATTTAGCCTGTTAACTTTATTTCTCAATTTTTTGTAAACAGGAGGGTCTTTTGACATTGCTTGTTGTCGTTGCTGGATTAGACTCTTCAGTTCAGGAGTAATCCAAGGCCTGTCTGTTGGGTGTTGTTTGATTTTTCGGAGTGGGAAGAAATTTCAATAGCAAAATTTAGCAAAGATTGGAAAGCAGCGAGTTTTTTCGTACAGTTTGATAGTGTTTCAAGGAATGACCAATCAGTAGATGCTAACCATCTTCCAAAACAGGCCTTCATGCTTGGCTTTACATTCCTTCTAAAAATTGATTCTACTTTCGTTTTGTGAGTTCTCCTTAAAGGGCGAATAAGTAAGGAGTTATGGTCACTTAAGCCGATTCCGGGTAGAATTTGAGGAGTGTTATAATGGTGAAACAGGTTGGTGAAAATTAGGTCGAGGATTGCAGCACCGCGTGTTGGATTTTTAACGGTTTGTTGCAGGTTAAAATGGTTACTAATATATCGGTAATTTAAACGATTAAAATCGCCAACCAACATAATTCCAGCATTAGGATATTTGTTCAAAGCAGCATCCAATGATGAAATTAGGTGATCCGTAAAAGTAGCATCATCGTCTTGTGGTGGGTGGTATATAACACCGATAATTAGGCAAGTAAAGCCTCGTGGGAGTCTGTTCCGGCGGAGGTATACCCAAAGAGATTCAAATGGGGAATAATTAAGTTCGTCAATTGTTGTGAAATCAATTGATGATTTGATGTACGTACTAACACCACCACCACGTTTATCAGCGCTTCGATCTTTTCGTACTAGCGTGTAATCACTAATGTCGACTACTGAGTTGGAAATATTATTGGTCAGCCAAGTTTCTGTAATACAAACTATATCCACGTCGTTTTGGTTAATGACAACTTCCAGATCATCAATTTTATTAACGAATGATCTTGTATTAGAAAGGAACAAAGAGGGTAAGGAACTTTTTTGTAGTAGGACGTAGCATTCGCGATCGGTGAGTTGCAATTGATTGATATTAAGTTGTTCAAGTTTCTTCTACGCAAGGTTTTCCTCACGGGTATGCAGTCATTATGCGCATTCTTTGCTTTGGACTTTGTTAACGATTTCTCGTTGAGATTCTAACTGGTATAGTGTTTCGTTCCAGAGTGATTATAGTGTTGTTACTAGCTGCGACAGAAGTCTCCAAGTTTATTGCAATGTGCGATGGACAAACTCCAGGTAATTCAATCAGTCTGCCTGCTGGCTGATTCGCGACCGAAAAAACGTATGCCAGTTCATCTTTCCTGTTTCATTCCTTTGAGTCTGGCGTGAGCGAGGCGTATGTGTCGAGTAATTAACAAGTAGAGGCGACCGTCCTATCCAATCGAGGGGTTCGGCCCCACTTCGAGATGTATGCATAGGTTTACTACCTGTCGCGTTAGGCGTTTCAACCGGAGGTAGGCGGTCCAACCATTTCAAAGATCCGGTCCCACTTGATACCAACTGACTTTCGCCAGTATTAGCACAACTAAGGTTTGAAATATGTTGTACATTCTGTTCGTTTCCCGGTTTTGGCTTCTCACAACTGACATTTGATTGTGGGCGAAAAATAGCTTGGGAATGTTGATGGAAATTACTTTGTTTTACAGGACTGACTAAGTTGTAATGATGAGCGTAATACTGCTTTGATTCATGTTTAGCAGAACCAACGCCTACGCTAAGGGGTTTGGTTGTATTAGCAATCGATCCAATTTTAATTACTTCAGGATTGGCCTTGGGAGTTTCTAATTTACGATCGGAGGTGGATTTACATACTTTATAACGATTCTGTTGACCCTTATTTATTCCTGGTGCATCTTCGATTTGCTGGGTAACGTGTTTGTTAGAGTTATGATAGGCCTGGAGCGTTAACTTGTTATTTGGCTTGTTACTGCTAACAGGACAAAGCTGAGCTACTCCGGGAGGGTTGGTATTTTGTTGACAGGTTACTGTTGACCGTAATTGAGCACAAGACCGCTTTGGACCATGTTTGCATATAGGAATCGTGGCAGTACTATCGATCTTAGTTGAATTAGCTGTAGGTCCGACATTAATTGATTCAGAATTTATAATTGGAGCAATATTATTGTCTGAAGTGAAGTTACTTTTACTCTGTTGGCTTTTAAGGTTACAGCACACCCTTTTTGGCGTTTTGCGGAAAATCGCTACTGCGCGCTCAATATCAGTCCGATTTTCATCAAATTTTCACCAAATGTTCTCCAGTGCATGCAAAATATGGTAAAGTTGTAAAATTGACAAACAATAAAATAATGCAAGAATTATTCGGGAAAATATTAAGTCGCGGTACCTTTACGCTTTTGAGTTATGTTCCTGCTGGTTTTACGATATATTTATGAAAATATCATTTTTATACAGTAAAATAGTTGTTTTAAAAAATTGTGTTCGGAAATTTTTGTTTATTTCGTCATTCCGCTGATATGGCGATTTCTTTGACGACTGCGATATATTTCTGAACGTTTGTGTGAATTGCTCCTTATTATTAAAATATCCAAAATTAGAACAAAGCCGAACACAATTTTGAAACTAGACTTTCCAAAGTCCGCGGTTCGTGGTTCCTGGAAGCTACGGACTTTTGTCACCCACAAGCGCGCCAAAATCACCGGTGCATTTTTGCTCCGGTGACGTCAGTGAATGCTCATTATTATTCTGTACTAACGACGCCATTTTGTAAAATTTATATTTAATATAAACCATTGATAAACAGACTCGCCATCCATTGTGAATATATGGAAAGTCGCATGAACAAAACAATAATGAACAAGACGTTCTATAGAGCGTTAACTGGGGCTATACACCGTACAAACACGCACATAACCGTATATGATTCATACATGCATGCAGTACACAGTTGTTTCACTTAAGATTTATGGTTGTCCCTTGGTTGTCCCGAGCTAAGCGGAACTGTCGAATACGAGCGACAAAGGGTTGAAGATTAAACTTTTCAGTTACAGTTTTGTTCACTCTGTTTTGAACTATATCAACATGTAACAGTGCTCTGTCTATCATGCAACCTACTTTATTATTTTAATGTCTTATATACCAGTCGATTTTACTTGTCAAGGGGATAGTGCTGCCGCTGTCAAATTGGCTAGGTTTGTATTGCAGGTAGGTGGCTCAGTTTTGCTCATGATTTTATACAATCAGACACAGTACGGTACCAATGCGGCCTATACAAACAAAACTCTCTGCGTTAGTCCACCGCGGCTAGCATTTATAAACAGCGCTTTAAAACGTTAAAAATAAAATAGTTTGGGGCCTTTGGGCACAAAATACTATCAAAATGAAGAGAGAAGCGAGACAAATCCACTGGTATACGGCCGAAAAAGAGAAAACCAACGATACCAAAGTTATCAAGGATTAAACGCACAGCATTTTTTATAATTAGTTGAATAATTTTGAGCGATTCGTTCGCAAAACAATTTCGCGTGGATTTTACTGTAAAGATAAAGGCCATAAATCGCTAGAATACTGTTGTTTAGTGATACATTTGACACCCGTAAGTACAATTTCTTACGCTGAATCGAACGCTGGTATTTTTTATCTTTTTTGCGCCATTAGGCATTACAACTTAGTACAAGGTCAAGGACAAACATACTGCGACTGAGTGTCAACATGAATACGTATTGCAAACGATTTGTAAACAATACAATTTCACTTGATTTTGAATGGCCATAAATCGCTAGAATACCGTTGTTTAGTAATACATTTGACATCCGTAAGTACAATTTCTTACGCTGAATCGAACGTTGGTATTTTTATCCTTATTGCGCCATTAGCCATTGCAAATACAATATATTTCACACTACAGTTTTCACGTTTCCACAGCTATTAACAACAATTTAATATAGGGACTGTTGTTGGATAAATTTTATATTGATATGACTTCTCGTAAAGTAGTTATCTATTGCAGTAAAAGTAAGTTGTGTAGTTTACTGTAAGCTGTGCTGTAACAGTTACATTTTATTTGTAACTAGTTACAGTTATAGTTACATTACCAAAAACATAACTAGTTACCGATACAAGTTACAGACGCCAAAGTGTAACTAGTTACAGTTACAAAGTTACAATATATTTTTTGTAACTTAGTTACAAAGTTACGAGTTACATTTATTGATTGCAATTAAGAACGCATACAATTCGAATGGGCCAAATGGTAATGAAACTTGCGGCAAAATTATTGGCAAAATTAATAACTATTTACTAGATGTATCTGCATGCATCTGTAAAATTCTACCAAATCGATTTTTCAATAGAATTGTCAATTAAAAAAACTCTGCTATTATACAGTCTGAACGAATAGATTGGACAAAAACATACCTCACTGGCTAGTGGCTTCTGACTTCGCAATGAAAAAGCAGAAACGTGAATACGTGATCATGACTGGGCCAAGGCCAAGTGAAATGAGGCCAAAGACCAATTATGACGAGGCCAAGGCCCAAAGTGAAGGCGAGCGACGGCATTCCGATCAGTTCCAACTGTACGTAAATTTGACGTCAATCTTTGACTTAAATTTGTGTCTTGAACGGATTCTGTTGTGTCAGATTAAATTATACCTGTGCAGATGATTAAGAGCATGCCTGATTGTCTATTGATTTATTTCATTTTAAAAACGTACACAAATAGCAACGAACAAAATGTAACTTGTAACTTTGGCAAAATAACTTGTAATCGTTTCAATTTTATGGCATTTTTTGTAACTAGTTACCGTTACAGTTACATGTTCTCAAAATGTAACAAGTTACCGTTACCGTTACTGAAAAATGTAACGATTACTTGTAACTAATTACTTTTAACGAAGTTACTTACAGCACTGACTGTAAGTTATAATTTTACCTTGAAATTGTCTTTGCTTCGTTTATATTCAGATTCAGTATATTATGATCGTGCACGGGAATTGGACGATCCAAATTTCGGATTTTCAGAGTCGTGCACGAAGAAAAACGCATTAACTAAACTGGCAAGAATGTCTAGAGTTAGACACAATGCAAAATCCATAAAAAACAGCTACAATTCGTTGAAAATTTTAACGAAATTGTTTGAAATATTTTGGCCACTCCACGAAAGGCCCCAGCGTGTCCCAGCGAGTAACTAGTGAAATTGACATGGTGAACGCCCACTATCTCATAATTGATTTTCGCGCCAAATTTTTCAGTAAGATTCAAAATCAGGCAAGTGACACAAGTCGCTCGCTTCCGTCTTTCTCAAGCGCTCCCTTCTTGCTACGCGCGGTCCCTAGCGAGCGACTTGGGCAAGTCTATTTTGAAACTGACGTCTTTAGCTATGTCCTGTGAAAATTTGAGAAAAATTCGTGAAAACCCGCAAGGAGCACAACTCGTTTAAAAATCAGTAATTGCCGTAAAATTCTTCGCGAGAAAATTGAATTTGAATATTACATTTTCAATGTTTTTCTTATTGCAAGCGAAATGTATTTTATTAAATAATTCTGCGAGTTTTCAACATTTTTCGTCCAAACTTGGTCAGATAGTAGAACTAGTCTAATTAAATGCTTTCATGGAAACCAATAAAAAAATTTAGGCAAAATTAACACTCAAAGGTGTTTTGTAACCTTAATTGAGTCTACTCGTGACGAATTTGCTCAATCGCTTGATTGTTAGACTGAACTTTGCTTAAAATATTTGATTCTGTGATTATGATGTTTAGTTTGAGACCTTCAATTTCCGTCGATAAACCACTAAGCGTATAGGTACACAGGTTATTTGCCGCGTTCGTGGCATCAGCTAAATTTACTCCGACATTGTTATGTACTTCAAAATCAGTTTGGGTAGTGGAATCGACAAGATCCTTTCTGGCCAGAATTGCAGAAAATTCATTTAGTAATCTAGTTGTAGAATAATAAAGCTTGTTTATAATCACAAATACACCGTCAATTTTATCCTCAATCGCTTTTATTTCACTAGAATTGGAATTGGGCATTCACTAGAATTAGTAATTTTGCCAATGTGACGCGATTCTCGCGCCGATGATTTTATCTCGTCTGGTATTTGATATGTATAGTATCGCTTGGCATGTTCAAAATACTTATCAATAATTTCTTTAAGGATTCACCGTCCTTCCCGCTGAACAGCAAAGAATTTTGCTTACCTGGGTGCCAAGTCATTGTCAGATCTAGGTCATTACTAACAAACTGTTTAGATTTGCCACCGGGCGACCTCCAGCAACCCACCAAACCGACAATATTTTCGGTAAAATTCTTGAGAGATATCAGATCATTTGACCACTTTATACGTGTACCATCATAGACTAAGTGTGTCTTAATGTTTAGCAATTTTATTGTGGGTATATCAACACGATCAAGACTAAAATTCTTTAATGTAGGTGAGATCAATATTTCGCTGCCGTCCGCCATTTTAGGTCGGTCAATTCTGGATCATTGGTCTTTAATACTGAAATTTAAAAATTAAACGAGACTTACCTGTAAGTTGAAGTTTGATTGTAATTCTATGAGTTATCAGTAAGGAACTAAGGAGTCACATGAGATATGCATGTGCAGATCGAGTATTCAGCCTTTGAAGCAGTAGTGATTGCACCCAACAAGGGTGGGCTTGCCATCTCTAGTTTGGCCACATAATGTGTTGGGTGGGTGACTCCCTAGTTCCTTACTGATAACTCATAGAATTACAATCAAACTTCAACTTACAGGTAAGTCTCGTTTAATTTTTAAATTCTATTTCGTCATCAGTTACGTCACTAGGGAGTCACATGAGACTTCAAAGCCGTGCAATCACTGCAAATTCTGGAGCAAAGATTTATTGTATAACAGTACAAAACCAATGTGTACGTAGTAACAACTAAAAATTTGAGTGGTATATGCCACAGTCGAACAGTATGTTAGTTTAAACATTAACATTAACATAAACAGAGTTTAATAAAGTTTCACCAAATTTTAATAAAGTTTCACTTTGCCTTTTGGTGAGCCACAAGCTGTTTTGTGTTTTCCCTGATTCCCTTTGTGCGTTGTATATATTCCAACAGGTAATGTGAGACACATAATTGTTTGTCCAGAGGAAAAGCCTTTTAAAACAGTTTTAGTGGTTTGGAACCAGGTTTGGTGGTTTTCAGTAGTTTGTTAATGTGAAAAACACACTCATCATCACCAAGTTTCCTACTGTCAATACTTAATGATTGCAGAGTCTGGCATCGCTGCCCAGACAAAAGTGCCATTAGCATAACAAGCTTTAGAGTTAAGTCTTTCAGTAACAGTTCTTTGGCAATTTTAGACTGTTCATGTCCCATATATTTTGTTGGGTTGGTTGGGGAGGAATAATAGTTCCTTGCTTTTTGGTAAGACAATTGGCTGGTGGACAATCATGTTCATTGCTTTCGGCCACCATATCTGTGTTGGCCAATATGGGGATCACTAGGATCCCTGAGGCTTGATGTTCTTGGACTTTCTATAGCACTTGCATTATCACACTAAATGGTGGGAAAGCATAGAGAGCAAATTGAGTCCATGTCATGTGAAAGGCATTAATGGCAATTGCTTCAGGGTCTGGTCTAAATGCTACGCTGATTGATTCTGGAAACAAATAGATCAATGTCGGGGGTAAACCTGAGCATGTTACATGCCAAGGTAAGTATGTCTTTGTTAACTAAGACACCATTCAGTCCCCCAATTGAAAGACCGAGGCTGAAAGTCTGCTTGACAGTTTTCAACCCCTGGTATGTGTGCCATTGTTATCCATATTTTCTGGCTTTCACACCACTGCCAAATTTATCTAGCACTACATAGGCTGGTTCCCATTTCTCTAATGATGCTTTCAGCAGTGGTATTATCCACCATGATCATTGCATGGTTGCCACTTAGAATATGCTGAAAGGATTTAAGTGACAGAAAGACTGCTAGTGTTTCTAAGTAAATTATGTGTTCATAAGACTCAGTTTGGCCCCAGAGTCCACTAGTTGTTTTGTCACTCAGTGCACATCCCCATCTCAGTTTGAAGCATCTGATCTGTCTGTATGGTTATGTTAGGTTGCCACCTATGCACTGGGTTGAATGCAGTGTCAATGTTATTTATCCACCACACAAGTTCTTCCTTGGCTTCAGCCGAGAGTGCACAGTGGCATCAAACTTTCCTTTGTTATGTTTATAAGTGCTGCATTATGTCAGCTTCAGAAAGTCTGTAATGTAGTGGTCCCATTGCAACACCTGGGAAGTTTGAGATAAGCAAGCCTAATTACCCTAGCAACCTCACGGATAGTAGGGTATTCTTTCGTAAGGAGTTCCTTACATGTTTCTATGAGATTCAACTTCTTTCCAGGTGTTATAGTCACCTGCATAGTTTTGGAGTTCAGTGTGAAACCAAGATAGTCTAATTCATGAGTGGGGATGAAAACAGATTTGTCAGGGTGAGCTATAAACCCCAAGTTGTCTATGAGCTGTGTTGTGTCAATCACATTAGCTGCACAGTCATCATAGGTTTGACCTGTTCGTAATGAGTCATCAATGTAAAGGGAGGATAGATGACCCAATTTCCGGTGGTAAAAAAGTACTGGCTTCATTAGTTTTGTGAACTTGCATGGGCAACAGGCTACTAGGCCATTGGTGAAGCAAGTAAACTGGTACAGTGACCCATACCACTCAAATTTTAGATATTTGTGGTGGAAGCTTGCTATTGGAACACAGTATAGTACGCATCTTTCAGATCGATGATGCCATAAAACAGTTTGGTGTCAGCAGTCTAATGGCTGACTGAATTGACTCCATTTTGAAATGGTAGTATTGAACATGAGCATTTGGTCGCTTGAGGATCATTCTGTATGATCCATCTTTTTTCTCCTTTAGAAATATGGGGGAGATAAACTCTCCCGGCTCATGTTGTGATTTTTCTATTATACCCGTTGTCATTGATAAGGTTCGGTCGAGAATTCAATGTGAAGTCCACGAACCTAGAACCTCTGGGTCAGAGGTAATCTCATGCCATTTGGCAATGTGTTTTGATATTTGACCACTCTTGAAATGCACAATTTTTGATTGCGTATTGTCGTAATCTGATCGTGGTCGCCATTGTTGTGTATTTTTGTATTGTTTTCTCGCATCACTGATTGTATTGCTAACTTTATTTGTAGCTCGTATATTTGTTAGTTGACCCTGTAGGTCATCCCCAAATAGGAAGGATGTAACTGGAACATGCGAGGCGCAAAGGGTCGTGTATTCTTTGTTAAGATGCGGTTTTAGCGTTTCCCGCCTTCGTTGTGACATTTCACACGACGCGTGTCCCAGTAGAGCAAGGGCGTCTGTGTTGAGTGTGATAAGCTCTCGGTACTCGGGCTTCGAGTCTTTTTGATAAAGTGACAGAAGTTTGTCGGTTGATTTTGCCACGACAACTCCTGCTTTGGCCAGATTAGATTGGTTTGTGCTGGCGCGAAGGTCCAACTGTTTTGCAGTGTGGTCTATTCTCGCCCAGATTTCTGGGTTAATGCGTGGCGCCACAAGTCTGTCACAGTTGTCTGGGCGGGGGTATTGATCCCGCTTTTCTTTCAGCTTTTGATCGCTCAGTTTTTCAGACCAACGCTTATTGATTATGGTAGCGCGTTTCTCTGTAATAGCCGGGCCCATATCGTCCTCCTGAGAGAAACCATTTTCAATTTCTGACAGCAATGAGTCATTGCAATTGTCAGTGACAGTGTCTTGCTCGAGTCGAGCGTTAATGGTTTGAGAGCTTTCTGCCGAGTCGGCATTTGATGGGCCACAAAGTGCCCGCATATCTTCGTCGCTGCTCTGGTTTTCTTCTACTTCCTCAAGTCCAGATGTCTCTGTAGCCAGGCGAGGTTTCTTTCGTTTCGCGGGAAGTGTCTTGTCTTCGTGGAGACGTTTCAGCGACTTTTCCATGATTGAGCCAACCATTGTATGTAAGGACTGGTTTAACTGTCGTAGAAAGCTGCTTGATTTCGCCGGTAAGTCGTCATTCTCGTTGGATCCGTCGATGTCCACTTCGACAAAGAGGTCGTCTTCCTCACTTTGATCGGGCGATACTTCGGTAGTCGGTTTTTCTGAACCGAAATTCTCCATGAATAAAACTTGCAACTGAATACTTTGAACGACACGTGCAAAAGTGAATACTCGATCTGCACATGCATATCTTATGTGACTCCCTAGTGACGTAACTGATGACGAAATAGAATCAGTCATTACTTAATAACTAATAATTTCAACAATGCCAAGTTAACAGTTTCTAATTTACAATTCTGTAATCTTGCTTACTGTAGCGACAATACATGCACTGTCCAGCGTAAACATACAGTTTCTTAAAAAAAAATACAAAATATATATAATGCAACATGCACTGTCCAGCGTAAACATACAGTTTCTTAAAAAAAAATACAAAATATATATAATGCATCATTCCTGATGATGAGTAAAACGTAGTCGGAGCTAGAGTTGGTATTATTAAAATGTTCTTTTTTGGAGTTACCGTTGTTTTCAGTGGTTCCCGTAACGTAATACAGTTTCTTCACGACTTCAGTTGAGTATATCCGTATATATATATAAAACAACAATTGAAACGTTTAAAGTGCCTATGACACGAAATTTCACCCCAAAGGTTTATGGTTGCATTGTAAAGATCGCTTAAAAATGACTTCATAATTTCTTTTATAGAATTTTGGTAACTTGTTCCATTTTCAAGATATTCAACTTTGTTTCATATGCAAATATCACCAGTGTGACATCACATCACATAATGAGTTTTCAGAAAAGTATAGTTTTCTTGACGAATACGTATCTAAAAAACTTAAAGATTGTATTAATTTCATAATTGGTAATTAACCTTCTGTATGGGTTTGTAAAAATATTTTATCAAGGTAAAATATTGCGTTTTCAAAATGTCATTAGGCGATGTGATGTCACACGGGTGATATTTGCACATGAAACAAAGTTGAATATCTTGCAAAGGAAGCAAGTTACCAAAATTCTATAAAAGAAATTATTAAGTCATTTTAAGTCATCTTTACAATGCAAACATTTGGGGTGAAATGTCGTGTCATAGCCACTTTAACAAACAATTAAGAAAGGCGCAAAGCATCGGATATAATTATACGAAATTTAACGAATGTCTACTCTACGACGTAATATACGAAGCTTTCAGGTTCAGGTCAATCCGAAAAACAACCGTAAGGAAACTGCGATAAAACCGTAAAATTTACGCGCGATTATAGCCGCGGTCTTTGTAAAGTAGCAACTGCCAACTTGAATAAGGGTCCGAAATTTTTTTGTATTTTTAATCCTCTGCCGATTGAGTCATATATCTTTTTACATATATTTATTTCTTGCGCTATAGACAAATTGGTCATCGGAATACTAAAACACTCTACTTTACTAAGTTATCTATTTTGAAATTTTTTAAAAATTTTAGACAGAAGGGACCTTCACCTAGGGGGAGGGGGGGGGGGGTGGAGGGGCAGCAAAAGATCACCGGAACGGCCTAAATAGGGCCTGCGGGACATGCCACTCCTCCAGTTTATAGCTTTAAAAAAGGCTCTGTTTATGCTGTTCGAACCATACGAAAACACTACTCTAGCTAGAGTCGTCATGAAAAATATACTACATTAACTAATTTTTCCATTTATAGTTGATTACTACAAGTTAACGATAGAAGAAGTTATTAACAGTGCACCAACGATATGGAGGGATAGCGGAAACCTTAGTTTTGATCCAGAAGGTATAAGAATTCTTTATGTACTATTATAAAAACGAGCAGCAGTGTTTTATTAGGTTTAAAGCCACGAGCGCGCAGCGCGAGTGGCTTTAGACCTAATAAAACACGACCCGCGAGTTTTTTAAATGACTTCAAAAACGTATGCATAAAAAGTCAAATCTTTATATAAAAATCTTTATATAAAAATCTTTATATAAAAATCTTTATATAAAAATCTTTATATAGTTTGCATAACAATGGTCTTTTGTTAAAGTGTTCTTTTGCTGGTATAAAGACGTATGCACGTGACTAATTTCTTACTCAAGATTGGATAATTGCTTCATGAATTATTAATGAGTTTTTGAATGTTGCTTAAAAAACTCATTAATAATTCATGAGGAAAACACAAAAGAAATTTATGTCTAATCAATGTTTTTAAATCGGATAAAGATTTGTCCTGATTTACATAAACTTCAGCTTTGATTTTCTCGGCTTAGACAATGTTTATTTTTAAAATAACTTCGACAATGAACTCATAAGATGGGTCGCTTTTTAAGCACGTTAAAACATTCGCATCCGATCTTTATCTATAATATACAAACTCTCGCCTTCGGCTCGAGTTTGTATATCAGATAAAGATCGGCTGCTCATGTTTTAACTTATAGTACGTAAAACCTGGCCATTTGATAATAAGTCGTCAACGGTGAGGTGATTTCAAGCCGATATAGTAGTTTAGACGAAGGTGCATGAATATATTATAGCTTGTAATCACCAAGGCGACTAATCGGCAATTGGATTAGTAGAAATTGTGAAGAGAGCTAACACACAATTATGAACTCAATTTAAAAGAGGCTATAAACGAAAACTGCGTGATAAAAATACTTTGGAAGGGCTCAAATCTGAAATAAAATTGTGTTAAAATTATATCACAGCAACGTTTTCGCTGATCATGAAAACAAGTAGCTACATGACGATACAAAAGAAGAAAAAAACGAAGATTTTACAAAACAGAACAAAAGTGGCTCGGTCGTTATGTTTTATTCAAACATCAATTGATATTCATGATCCCTCATGATGACGTCATTAGTATTGTAAAAAAACTAAGCTAAAGGCGGTTTTCCAGTCCTCGCACGAACCTCCTCGCAGCGCAGTGCTTACATCGCTAATTAAAATGAACTGTTTAGTATTGTGATTGGATGAAAGTGCTCATGCATGCACTCGCAGCGAGCTGCGAGGAGCTTTGTGCGAGAACTGGAAATCCACCTTTAAGTATGTAAGGGTGTCAGTTGACAACAGGACGCTCACAAGTGAGAAATTGTATTACCAAGGCGGGTCCAGCGCGTCCTCGCATACTTTCAACCCACTTTGTATGGCTACACAAGTTCGCCATGCAGTATAGCCTTCCGAACAAGATTTAACAACGACGAATTCACAGCTAGCAAGATAATTCTACTGCCAACACTAAGAACCGTGCTGAAGCCACGATCTCCAAGACTTCGATCGCTCGCTTCACGATCGAACGTAGAGTTACGAAACCAAGGTTGTTGTTGCCAGTGAAGAACTGGCAACAACATATAATTTCAGCATATAATTTCAGTGTATCTTTAATATTGACTCCCTTTTTTATGATATTGAAATAATTTTTTAAATAAAAAAGAAAGCAAAGTTATTTGCAAGCGAGAATTTGAAATCATTTTATTGCAAACTCAAAGTTTATCGATAAAGCCATTTTAAAAGGCAGTTTAGTTTTATAAAGAACACTAGTGACTTTAAAAGGTTTTGCGAATCGTTTCTGGTTGAATTCTACCTTAAATCGAGGCTTAATTACGTATAATAACATACCTAACATATATATGTTGGGAAATTAATCATTTTGTAATTAAAAGTGATATTTTTAGGCGATTTTTCATTTGTAAGAATATTCTTAAAAAATTATCATGTTACCATGACAACCACTTTAGATACTTCATGTTCGGAAAATAAAATGGTTTTGTCAGCAAGGCGAGGGTTTCTGCATGCATGTATTTTCTAGTATATTAGTTAGCCTGCCTTCGAGTCCGGTGTTTACGATGGAGTTGAAGTCGAAGCACATGTAGCACACATTTAACGGACTCTTTGCGTTTCCTGTTTGTTAGTCCTATTGTTGGTGCTCGCTTGGTTTGAGTGACCATGGAAATCTGGTACGATCGCTTCACTAGTTTCTTTGTTTAAAAAATAGGCTGGGGAAAAGTTGTTGTTTTTTACTGTGTTGGCTCGGTTATTTGCATTACAGCAAATGATGTAATGCGCTGTGTGGGCTCACGCGTTTCGTGATGCGTTGTGTAATTGGCTCGCGTGTTCATATGAAAAAATCGTGATGCGCTGTGTGGGCTCACGTTTTACATGACAGAAATTGTGATGCACTGTACTCACTGTGTGGGCTCATGGCTGGGGAATGTATAAACCGTGATGAACTGTGTGGGCTCATGGCTCTTGAATATATAAATCGTGACTATGCACTGTGTGGGCTCACGACTATGGGTATAGCAATCGTGATGTACTGTGTGGGCTAACGTCTATGGAGTATAGAAACCGTGATGTATTGTGTGGGCTCACGACTATGGGGTATAGCAATCGTGATGTAGCTACTGTGTGGGCTCACGACTATAGGGTATAGCAATCGTGATATACTGTGTGGGCTCACGGCTGATTGAATATATAAATCGTGATGTTCTGTGTGGGCTCGCGTGTTTACATGAGACAAAATTGTAATGCGCTGTGTGGGCCGGCTCACGTGTTTACGGGACAAATCTGGATGAGATATGTGACTGCACGTGTTTACATGATAGAAAACGCGAGGCGCCGTGTTATTATAGGGAAAGGGAAAATCTCGTGGGGCTGGTGTGTTTTACATAGTCGAAATCATGTGCCGTCTGTGGGCTCACTGTTTACATACGAGAAAATCGTGATGCTCTGTCTGTGGGCTAACTTGTTTTGTCACAAGCCAGAAGGCCCTAGCGATCCTGACGCGGCTTTGGTAGTGCTCAAATCGCTGGATAAGAGGGCGACCGGTTGTGGGGTAGACAGCATTACAGACAGTGCGTGTAAGGTTAAGTGTATGAAGAAAAATAATTTCTCTTATACATACAGCAAAATTCACCAAGCATGGTGTAAGGCAGGTGTAAGGCACGTTTGTTTAATCATGCTAACCCAGGTGCGTGGAAACGGGACGCGCTGTACCCGCGGGTTGTTCTTACTCAGCCTGCAGGATGCCAACAGCCAGCGCATTTCCACCCGTAGCAGTTCCGGAAAAATCCAATAGGGGGACAGCTGCTACAGTGGTACGAGGAGGCAGGGTACATGGTCTACGGATAGGGCTAAGAAATAAAATGGAATGATTTGAGACATATGAATATATATATATTTATATATATATATATATATATATATATATATATATATATATATATATATATATATATATATAAGTGGAACAGGATTCTTGTATTATGGCGCAGCAGTACACGAAACCGGGTGGGACCCTGGGTTCGGAGGGGTCCGACACACATGAACTTCTAGACGCGATAGAAAACATTCGGAGGAAAAAAGCAAACCGATTAGGTTTTTCTCGTCTGTGGACCGGAAACGGCGAGAATACCTAAGGACAGGACACCTGTCAATGTATGTCCAGCAAGGGGCGGATATGGATTTAGATTGAGTTAAGAATTGGAGGAAGGTCACTTCCCATGTAGTATGTGAAGTGGATGAAAGTATATGGCGCCAGCATTGTAATCGTATCGGCTGTAAATCGAAAATCTGGAAACAGGACCTTATTATTCAAATGGAGTGGGTACTGAGATTAGGAGGTTCACTGCCCAATTACAGAGAGGATTCATTGTAACTAACCTCATTTAGGAAGAGGAATTAGGGTTAGTGAGGATTGGGAAGTAGTGGATGGTTGGATAGGGAGAGTTGAACCTAAGGCAAGATACAGCTACCTGGGGTGGGACGTACGTGAGACAGGAGATATCCATACCTTAATGCTAATAACACAACAGGAGAGATAATGTACTATTCAAACATCATTGAATATTCATGATCCCTCATGATAAAGTCATTAGCATTATAAAAGACTAAACTAATTATGTAAGGGTGTCAGTTGGCAACAGGATGCTCACAAGTGAGAAATTGTCCCACCCTCCCACCCATGGCTCTCCTGCTGGCTTGTTGGCACCAACGCTACTCTTCTGTCGTTGGTTCGACAGGAGATATCCATACCTTAAAGTAGACTGCGAGCAATCCCTAATAAATAGAGGGATTGCCGCTTCAACTAATTGTCAAGCGTGTTTGATTAAGCTCCGCCTACTTGTTTATATTTCAAAACAGGGGCAAAAACATCGCTTGAAAGGCGCGATCTCGAATGACTCAATTCGCTTAGTGTAAAACCATCAAACAACGTGTATTTAAATTCTCAAATTTCAGTTTGGCAAGTATGAATATTCATAATTGGAAATTAAACGAGACTTACCTGTAAGTCGAAGTTTGATTGTAATTCTATAAGGCCTACTTTGGGGGCCAAGGTCGCCGTTATTATGTGCAACATTGTGCGACATTAGGCGACATTGGCAATTTTCAAAGAAATGTAGTGTGCGTCGCTGGGCGAAACTGGGCGACATTGGGCGACATTAGGCGACATTGGACAAAACTGAACAGTAATATCCAGATAACGTCAAATATTATAATTCACAAATTATGCATCTACATAGAAAATACAACAGTAAATACATGTATCAAAATATAATTTAGTTATCCAAAATTGGTTCCTGTGGCAAAGAACACAATTATAGTTTATTACAAATAACAAAAATAACAAGGAACATTTATACCGTAGTACACATACATGCCCAGTGCATGGTACATTTACAATATCATGGAACTCTGACTTCTTATTAAATTGACTGGTGTAAACCCCTCATAGAGTTTTAAAACCTGTTTATGGACTATCATATGCAGTGATGGAAGTGAAAGAATTGGCATTTAAGGTAAATAAATTGTCAGCTGGCTAGCTAGCTATCATAAACGTGTACCATGTAAATCATGTACCACCATAACCATGCTTGAAATCTAACCCACCAAACTGGCAAACAAATATCTCAAATAGTGATAACTATAAATCTTATAGTTTCAATAAAAAATAGAACTTACTTTCAAAGCAAACAGATAGAAAAAAGTTTAATCCATATACATTTGTATAACTATACTGACTTACTTTACTAAAATTAGATGACAGTTCCTTTACTTTATAAACTGAACTAATAAATAATTAAATTCCTTTTATCCAAAACCTCAGAGACCTGTTCTTGTTCGGCTGGGATTTGAGCCCGCAATACCACGGCACGTCTAATTTAATGGTTTAGCTTCTAACTTGTACTACTTCGTGTAAGGAAACATAATAATTGATTATGGCGGGCCTTGGCGACATTTTATAACAACCTGTACCGTAGATCTTTCTGTGGTGCATTCATTGCTCTGTATCTTTTGCGATGATACCTAATTATGAGATGTCGATCATCGTAGCTTCGTCGAAAAGTAAGTACTTTTATTTTACAAACTACAAAGTCGTATTGGGCTATTCCATTTAATATCCGTACCCCCCCCCTGTCGAGGATCCCTGGAATTCTTCAGGGGTAAAGGGTTTTGAGCTTGGAATTCTTCAGAGGTAAAGTGTTTTGAGTTTGGAATTCTTCTGGGGTAAATGGTTTTGAGCTTGGAATTCTTCAGGGGTAAAGGGTTTTGAGCTTGGAATTTTGGAATTCTTCAGGGGTAAAAGGTTTTGAGCTTGGAATTCTTCAGGGGTAAAGAGTTTTGAGCTTGGAATTTTGGAATTCTTCAGGGGTAAACAGTTTTGAGCTTGGAATTCTTCAGGGGTATGACAATGAAAAACATGTATCCTCGACAGGGGGGGTACGGATATTAAATGGAATAGCCCATTTTGAACATACTATAGATGACTTTCTTTATTTATAGTCTATATATATATATATATATATATATATATATATATATATATATATATATATATATATATATATATATATATATATATATATATATATATATATATATATATTATATATATATTATTATATATATAACTACCGACGGTACCGTTTCGGCCTTTAGGATACCTAGTGTACTTCACTATGCTAGTGAGAGGTATTCTGTACTTTTGCACTTGCCAGTTATCATGAATGTATCTTTGATAACAAGATCTAAGTTTGATTTCATATACAACATTTAATGGCGTGTGATCGACTAATTTGGCTGAGTTTCACAAAGAAACACATTTGGAGAAGATAGCCAGAAGGCTGCCTTAACAACATAATTTAGGTAAGTCTCATTGGAATAATGTGTTGTAATTCATATACATATACGCCAAATAACCAAGCCTCGTTAATACTGGTGATCGAGAGATGGTGTCCTAACAGCACATGCCCTTGGTGTTTGTGTACATATATTAATTTATGAAAAAAACATGCAGGAAACTAACAAATAAATAAGGTATAGACTAGTATGGACGACAAACTCAAAGTGCAAAATTGGGCATGCTTGTGTGAGATTATGCAACATTAGGCGAAATTAGGCGACATTAAGCGAATAGACTGTCAGGCAAAGTTCAAAACTTAGGTGCACATGGGCGAAAGTGGGCGAAATTAGGCGACATTAGGCGACATTAGGCGACCTTGGCCCCCAAAGTAGGCCTTCTATAAGTCATTAGCGAGGAGTGGAGGAGTTGTAGAAGATACAGTACCGCGCATGAGTTAACCAGTATTTAGAGCATTAATATTGGTACAATGCCTGGAGTGGAGGAGATAATCGGGCCTGGGTGTAATTTTACGGGTGGGCCTACAACTCCTCCACTCCTCGCTAATGACTTATAGAATTACAATCAAACTTCGACTTACAGGTAAGTCTCGTTTAATTTCCAATTCTATTACGTCATTAGCTATAGTCGTTACGTAGTTATACGAGAATTTAGAGCTGGCATTGCACCAATATTATATCCGAAGAATGAACAGCAAGAAAGAAAAAAACACAATGTACAGTATAAGGAAATATCACATAATAAACTGATTATACAAATAGACCATGCAATTGATTAGGATAGTGTATTCATAATAGCACTACCAAAGTTAAATTCATTGTTATCTTTGAAATGGTAAAAACGTTTGAAAGTCTCTTCTTTTGACCACCCAGCTGCATTCAAGATATCTTTAAGGTCAAATTGTTGGGATGCTAAATGAGATGTTGATGCTGCTCTAGTACTATGACTCTTATATTGTGTGGTATCAACACCAGCAGTTGTCATGAAGTTTTTTATCCAGTGCGAGATTGTTTCCGTTGAGATGGGTTTGTAAGGTTTCACGAACTGATAAGAAGCTGCTTGTTGTCACCACGAACGGGTGATGTTCGTTTTAAATATTCCTGTAAATATGTTAGGATACACAATTTTTGATCAGCAACATACGCCATAAAAACTAGTGGCTGTTGATGAACACCAGGCCTAGAATGTTTTAATTTATCTGCTATTAAAAAAGTGATTTTTGTCTCTTCCATTGTCATATTGTCTATTGATAATTTACCGATTGTTTGGCATCTCTGTCCGCTGAGAAGGGCTAAGAGAAAAGCAACTCTTTGACTGAGGTCTTTCATGGGTAATAATGATGGTGCTTGCTGACGTCTTAGATAATTGAAGACAGTATTGACATTCCATGTGGAGCAATACCTTGGCAGAGACGGTCGGGACTCATATACACCTTTCATAAAGCGTTTAACGATGGGCAGTTGGCCGAAGGGAGTAGGATTGCTCTCCCAGGACAAAATTGAAGAAAGAACACTTCTAGCAGTATTAATAGAACTGTACGACAAACCAGATTTGAATAAGTCGGACAGAAATGACAATGCCTGAGGCAAAGGTGGTGAAATGATATCACAGTTGTTTTTCTGACAAAAATCAAACCATTTCTTTGCAGTTGACTGATATTGCGTCTTAGTTCCCTCTCGCCAAGAACTGAGAATAATGTCAATTGTATCGGTGGCGAAACCCCTCACTTGCAGTTTATTCCTGATACATGACAAATAAGAATGTTCAAGTTCTTGTGGAGAGGATGTTTGTGGTCCCGGTCTGATGGTAAGACTAAGAGGTCGGCTTTGGGCAATAGACGATGTGGAGGCTTCACTAGAAATTGAAGGATACCAGCTCTGTGTTGGTCAGTCGGGGACCACAAGAATGCCCGTGGCTTTGTCTTGAATTATTTTCCTGAGTGCTCTCAGAATGCAACTGAAAGGAGGGAAACAATAAAATTTTTCATATGCCCAGGAAATAGTAAAGGCATCGATATGCTTAGCATATGGGTCTGGTTTATAGGATACGTATGTATCAAACTGTTTGTTTAATCGAGAGGCAAACAGATCAATATTAGGTGAAAAACATAGTTTGGATAGAGCTTCAGTCAAATATTTTTTATTAAGCATCCATTCAGTGTCAAGGTTTTTGTTTCTGGATTCTTTATCGGCAAGAATATTCAGTTTACCGGGAACGTATGCGGCGGTGAGCCAAATTCCATGCTTTTCACATAAGCCCCAAATCTCATGTGTCACCTCATTGCATTGCTCACTGTGATTTGTGCCTTTGTTATTAATTACCGACACTGCCGTTGTGTTATCAATCATGATTTTTACATGCTTATTTCTTAGGAGGTTTATAAAACTTTTCAAAGTGAAAAACGCAGCGAGCAATTCCAAATAATTTATATATGTTGTTGTGCTTCGACTGCAGTCCAAGACCCTCCCGTAGAACAGCTATCCAGCACACCTCCCCAACCCGTGAGAGATGCGTCTGAATTAGCACTGACATCTACGGGAGTGGGATGGATCAAGTTATAAGAGTTTGGTAAATTCAATAACCACCAATTCAGTTCTCCAATTGAACGAGTTGACAATTGCATATATTTATCAAAGTTTCCCTTTGCTATTTTTAATGCCTCAATCTTATCTTACTCAATGGCTCGATAGTGACATTCTCCGTATCGAACGGCTGGGAAACTGGAAACAAGTAACCCAATAATCTGGGCTACCTCCCGAATTGTGTACCTGTCTGAATTTAGTATACATGAAATACGAGACATTATTTTTGTGATTTTCTCATTAGTTAGCTTAATTTTCATTGTTGCGGAATTGAGCTCAAAACCCAAAAACACAATCTTCTGTTGAGGGAAAAACATTGACTTCTCAACATGAAGGACAAAGCCTAAGTTAGTGAGGAGATTGACAGCCTCAATAATTGATGTAATACAGCCCTCATATGAGGTGGATATGATCCAACATTCCTTTGTCATAAGTGATAAGGCGGTGTTAATGGAATCCATTTTAAAATGGTATGATTTGACACGTTCATTAAATTTTTTGAGATTTAAGATAAGTCGAACCTTATCATCTTTCTTGGGAACGGAAAAGATTGGCGAAATGAACTCGCCTGGTTCGTGGGAAGTTTTGACAATGACGTTTTTAGCCAAGAGTTTAGAAATCTCTTCGTCTATTTTAATTTCATGATCTTTTGAAATCGAGTTTGTTGGATAAATAGAACATGTTGGGGGGTCTCCGATAAACTCAATGACTTCACCTTTGACAGTCTGTAGTATACTTTTGTCAGAAGTCAAACCTTCCCACTGTGAAATAAAATATTTAATTTGGCCGCCACAAAATAGATCAATCAGTCTTTTTAAATTTGGCAAGATTTTTTAGGTAAAGTATGTCGGAAAACCAATTACCTGATTATTTATTGACGGAAATGACTCTTCTGTTGTTGGCTTCGGAACGGATGGAATGTTTGCTGGGGAGGAAATTGACCCCTCCCCCGTTTTGGTAAAAAATGTTGCCTTTTTTGGTTTGGATAAGGCAAAAACCGTTGGCGCGGGAATGAATCACGCAGCAAGAATTTCCCATGCAATTTAGCCTCATTGACTGATTTGCTCAGATCGTCACCAAAAAGAAATTTCTCTGGTTTGTTCGATCTGTGACAAGCAGGCTTTAATTTGTTACTGAGTAATGGGCGTAGTGAATCCCGTCTTTTATAGGATAATTCCGTATTAACATGGCCCAAAAGCGCAATTGAATAAAAAAGACGTGATGCAACAGTACAATAATCAGGCAATGTCCTGTTTTCTCTACATTTTAGTAGCTCGTCAACAGTAACAGAAAGTGCGCTTGATACTCGAACAATAGAGTCTTGTAAGACTGCTGTGCGTAAGTCACGCTGTCGGTGAAAAACTTTGAGGCTCGTCCAAATAGGTTCATTAACCTTTGGTACAAAAAGCTTTGGACAATTTTCAGGTGTTTTATATTTTTCAAATATCTCCTTACGCTTCTCTAGTCCGAGATCTGATGAAAACTTGTCGTTTACAATTGCGATTTTTTCATGTATCGGTGGGCCTATAGAGTCTGACGGCCGTAACGATTCATTAATTTCATCTAAAAGGTCTTCATTATGTCAAAATAATCGCCGCCAAGAATGCTTAATGTATTATCATTTACGACCCTTTGGTCAGATGGACTAGCTTCCTCTGAAGCTGGCGTATGAACTTCTTCTGAAGCTGGCGTATCGGTATTTGCTTCCTCTGAAGCTGGCGTGGTGTCCTCCTCTGGGACTGGCGTTTGCGATTCTTCTGAATCGACTGCCTTTGATGCGCGTTCAGCGCGTAGTTCACTTAAAAATTGTGTGGTTTCTACCATACTTTTTTGTAGTTCGGAAAACATGTTGAATAACATTGCATTGTCTGGTGAGGGCGCTACCACACCAGCATCTAAATTTTGTTCAGTGTCTGACATGCTATTGCTACAGATAATACGAATATAAAGATAAAGAAAGTACACAAAAGATAACGACTTAGCTCAATTTTATCCAGAAAAGATAGGCGTCCTCTTGAGAAGATGAATTCCAAGTTCCAACGGAGCGATAAATTGCGGGTGCTCACTGGTTCGCATGAACAGTACAACTGGTTAACTCAAGCGCGGTACTGTCTCTCGTACAACTACGTAACGACTATAGCTAATGACGTAATAGAATCAGAATTTGTCTGGCAGAAAAACGTATAAAGCAAGGCAAGGGGTCTTAGGGTTTATTGAAGGGTCTATTCTATAGACTGTGACTTTCTGCGACAATATTTTGATATATATTAATAGTTTACAGTAATAAAAAATTACCAACTTAATACAGCTATTCAGCTGAATTACATGGTTAAGATTTACAAGGAGTGTTTCTAATTTACGTCAGTTAAAACGTGCGAATGTACCCGCTGCTGAGATGATTTGTTTTTATTGTACTTGCATCCGACCGAGATAGTAGAATATGCATCGCCCGTTTTTCATTACGGAATCCCAAATTACCTGAGTAAAGACATTGAACGGATACAGAAATCATTGAAGATCCAAATCACAAACTTCGCGGCACTATTGCGGATTTGAACTCAAATACTGCACTGTCTGCACATTAATCCCTGAGTACTTTCCAATAATTAAGACTAATAGATACATGAACACATTCATAATCGCAAGTTCTACATGTAAACGTTTTAATTCATAGTTCATAGTTTTAGCATGGATAATAAAATAAATGGATAGGACTCTAGCTGACGTAAGCAAAAACAAACTAGTTGCAATCTGTGACGTCACACGTATTGCAAATTATTCTCAGCATTTTTGTTGTTTCGCTAGACTTTCTGCTTTAAAAGAGTAATATTGAAGCATGAACTGGTCTAATTGTTTCAAAAACGCGCCAAAGCCACGACAAAGTATTCAAGGTAAATGTTCTTCGTCTTTGTTTTGTATTTTTTACATTTGTAGCTACGAAATTGACGTCCCCAATTTTAACGAAATTTGGGATGCATTTTTCACTGTTTAGTGCTTGAAATATTCGCTAAAATTGACTGGGAATACTTAGAGATTTCATTGTAGAATGGCGTAGTTATATTCATTTGCTCTTCGACTAAAATGTTTAGCTGTATTATTGCCAAACATGCCGTTTTTGAGAATTTGGTTTGCAACTAGGTTTCAACATCCAATCACGCCATCAACCTCCATTGAAAACATTAGGTTACGTCAGCTAGTTTCCTATCCATTTATTTTATTATCCATGGTTTTAGCATTCGTATACGTACATTTGCATGTTTCCAATTTTCAAGTTTAAATTTTAAGCTTTGTAAACATAGAGGCATAGAGGTTTGGCTTATATAAAAAATACAATCTTTTAGATACATTGATACTATCAACATGACTATTCCATTTAAGATCAAAACAATACATACAATATACAATACATAAATACATATTTTAATACAAAGACATACAATATTATAATAAACCCATAAACTCACCAAGTCACCATGTATTAATTTAATAGCCTAACTGCCAATTCATCAACGACTATGAGGGACAGTTCGTTTCTGAATGGCGAGCTTTTATTCTTCAACAAGGCAACAAATTCAGGAGACAAAGGCTCAAAGCTTCATCAGCAGATGCATACACAAATATCTGAAAATTGGTTTCCTTGATCCCACTATAAGAACGACCGAGTTAATATTTACAAAAGCGATCATCCTTAATGCAAAGTCGGCCGTAACTGTTCATCAATAATGCTACGAAGAGGAACAATTTAAATGCTAGAATACTACTGGGCTTGAACAAACCCTTCGAATATCTTCAGCCAACAGAAAACTCTTTCCAAATCCCGTAGGAAGGACAGCTAGAACATCTCTACCTTCAAGTAGGCACTCTATTGCAAGCGTTTGTTTCTGTAAGCTTGTTGTAAGACTTTCAACTACATACGTATCAATTTTCGTTGCTTCCCGCTGCCAGATAGATATTAATTTCGGCAAATGTCTGTTTACAGTATAAAGCCAGCTGAGTGATGGGTTTTAATGTTATCAGAATATTTATTGTTTTTTAACCAATCAGAATTTCCCGTTGTCTCTGCAACGGGAAAATCAAACACGCTTGACAATTAGTTAAAGCGGCAATCCCTCTATTTTTCCTCTCGTCTCCGCCCCTTTTTGCCATTTTCCCGCGCGTTCAATCTTAGTCCGGGAAACAATAAAACGAAGGAAAATAGAGGGATTGCTCGCAATCTAACCTTAAAGCTAATAAGACAGCAGGAGGGATAATGTACTATTTTACGCTGCAAAAACAATAAATTTGAAACAAAAAATAGTGTGAAAAAATAGAGAATGCGTAGCCAGGTTGAAACATTATTTATTGAACGTTCTCTGACTTGATATTTATTTCTACGAGCTTTCGGCTATCAGTCTATAGCCTTCGACGGGTGTATACAAATGATTCTATAAAAACGTTAAACTTAAGTAGGTGGTATGAAATCTGAGACTATCTATGCTATGTTACAAATGGGCAATATGAATATTTAATTAATTAATGTTTCTTGAGTTCCTTTCTTAAAAGTATTGTGTATTGTGCTGGAAGCGTATTAGAGTTATTATCAGCTTCGTCTGTTAGTGCAGTGTGCCAGGACTCTAAGGTTTTAAGGTTTCTATGATTTCCCTTGTCTATCACTCTAGCATTGGCAAAGTCAATTACATGATTTAGTTCTCTTTCTTTGCTTTCGTCGGTAGTAGGAAGTGACAAGGATCGGTTGATAAGTGTTGTTGCAGTACTAATTTTATGTTTTTGGTCGTGGTGTGATGAGTAGTTTAAGTAACGGTCTGTGTGAGTGGGTTTGCGGTAAACGTCAATAGAAATTAAGCCGTCCCTTCCGGAAGGGAATTTTCGAATTAGTCGAAGGAAAGTCGCCACCTGCAGGAATCGCGGTTCTACCTTACATCAAAGGACTAACCGAACCCCTAGCCAGAACACTCCAAAAACATGACATCAAAGTTTACAATAAGCCAGTGAAAACCCTCGAACGCCAGTGTCCATCTGCAAAACAGAAACCACCAATTGAAGATCAAAAGAACGTGGTCTACCAAATACCGTGTCAAGATTGTAGTTGGAGCTATATAGGCGAAACAGGAAGATCCCTGAAGACGAGAAAGTCTGAACACGTCAGGAATGTAAGACGGAGCAAGAAGGGATCGAATGTTACAAAACACGCATGGACTCAAGATCATGTAATTGACTTTGCCAATGCTAGAGTGATAGACAAGGGAAATCATAGAAACCTTAAAACCTTAGAGTCCTGGCACACTGCACTAACAGACGAAGCTGATAATAACTCTAATACGCTTCCAGCACAATACACAATACTTTTAAGAAAGGAACTCAAGAAACATTAATTAATTAAATATTCATATTGCCCATTTGTAACATAGCATAGACAGTCTCAGATTTCATACCACCTACTTAAGTTTAACAAGACGCCTACTCAGGCGTTCACACCACAGTTTATAGTCTATAAACTGTGTTCACACTGACCTGAAAATGATGATATGCGTGCTATGGTGCAATCTCGTTCCCTGAGCCTGCGGTCGTTGGGAAGGAAACGAAGGCTCTGGGATAATCCGTTTCAGGGAGGAATCTGATTGGCCGTTGATATGGAATGTGCAGTTCAATCTTAGCCAGAATTCCTGGCTTTCGGCAACGGATTATCCCAGAACCTTCGTTTCCTTCCCGAGGATCGCAGGCTCGGGGAACGAGATTGGCTATGGTGTAATAGACAATTGGGAAGCAAGAGAGTTCGTATAGAACCGTTTCAGCGGTAGATTTATCCAAAGAAAATCAATAATTCGACAACAAAAAGCAGAAGGCAGAAACTGTTTGAAACCTAATTAAAGTTGCGCTTTTGCACAAGTAACAAACCTTCATAAGAAAAAAATAAAAATATAAAATGAGACATAGGTAACATCTCTTGTTCTTTATTAATCACATTTAGTTTAATGTCAGATACTTAGTAATAATATTTATAGATAGTATCTCAGGTTCACACCGAAAATCACGTGACCATATTGAACTTTATCAAATCATGATCGTGGATCATTTCTGAGTATTGAAGCAGTCAGATACAATATATTATTGTCTTCTTCGCCTTTCAGTTGCCTTGAACGATACGTTTTTGAAGAATGGAGATTTTGCGCTACGCAGTATTTCGTGATCATGTTCCAATATTGATATAAGAATTAATGAGCACATGATAACAAATGAGCACATAATAGCTATGAGTTGATCGAGTTGTATTAGGAAAATGAGAACCATACAATAAACGTTTTAGTTCTTGTTGGTATTTCACTGAACGCACGCTTTATCTTTACTTGCGCCAATTCTAGTAACTACTGCGCGAATTTTAATACATGTATTATATGGCGCGTTTTTGCTGTCAAAATTCAATAGGTCCGCAGGAATGCTAGTAGCACTAGCTATACGTACTGCGCGAATTTTAATACATGTATTAAGGTATAATGCCGACATTGTCTAGTCAAACGCCAAACCTTTAACTTTTCCTTGTTTATATTATATTGTGAACTAAATGTTATTGTATTAGGAAAATGAGAACCATACAATAAATATCTTAGTTCTTGTTGGTATTTCACTGAACGCACCGCTTTATCTTTACTTGCTCCAATGCTAGTAGCTACTGCGCGAATTTTAATACATGTTTTATATATGGCGCGTTTTTACTGTCAAAATTCAATAGGTCCAATAGTTATAAGTCGAACACCAAATCACCAATGATACAAATCGGGCAACCCTTACTCGAATCGAGCAGACTGATATATAAATCGATTATTGAAATGATCAATACACATTAAAAACGAGCAAACAGTATAGCCAAATCGAACGACTATTCCTTGTTTATATTATATTGTGAACTAAATGTTATTGTATTAGGCAAATGAGAACCATGCAATAAATGTCTCGGTATTTTGAATGCAAGCTTTATCTTTACTACTTGCTCGAACTCTAGTAGCTACTGCGCGAATTTTAATACATGTATTAAGGTATATTGTCGACATTTTGTAGGTGAAAGAATTGGCTAGTTTACATTGTTCATTATATTATGAAATATGATACTATAGTTAAAATTCGCGTCGAGCTAAATGTTATTGTATTAGGCAAATGAGAAGTGAGAACCATACAATAAATGTCTTAGTTCTTGTAGGTATTTTGAAGGCACGCTTTATCTTTAGTATAGCTACCACAAAGCGTTTGGCGCGCCAACTAGTAGCTACTGCGCGAATTTTAATACATGTATTAAGGTATATTGTCGACGTTGTGTTGTGAAACTGTCAAACCTTTAACTTTTCCTTGTTTATATTGTGTTTATATTATATTGTGAACTAAGGCTATGTGCACACGGGCGTCGTTTTGCAGCGTTTTCAAAAACGTTTTTGTCCGTAAAATCGTTTTGACGCCTAATTCGCACAGCCCAAAGGAAAATATCTCGGATATATTAAATAAACTACAACTTCTGTCGTAAATTGATAGTGTTTGTATCCGTTTTAGCGTGAAAACACAAATGAAAACGCTCGAAAACGTTACCGTGTGCACATAGTCTGAATGTTATTCTATTAGGCAAATGAGAACCATACAATAAATGCCTTAGTTCTTTTTGGTATTTTGAACGCTCGCTTTATCTTTACTTGCGCGAATTCTAGTAGCTATTGCGCGAATTTCAGTACATGTATTTTAATATGGTCAAACCTTTAACTTGCCCTTGTGAACTAAATGTTATTGTATTAGACAAATGAGTACCATACAATAAATCAAAATAAACTGTAGAATCTTTAACTTGTACTTGCTTATATTCCACTATATTGTACAAATTCGCGTCGGGTCCAAATTTTGGGGTTTTCGAGTCGTTTAATACAACATATTGATTGCATAAATCCGCCGGGTCGGCCAAATTATTCAAAGCCAAATTTTAGAGTCGTATAATACAAAAATAAAAACATTAATTCAACATGCAGAAAAGTCCAGAGTGCGACAAAAAATTAACACAACTACACCACGGATGCTTATGACTCTACAACGTATATTTATAGACGGTTGTTTATTAGTTAAAAAGTCAAACTGTCGAACCTTTAACTTGTCCTTTGTAAAATTCGCTGGGTCCAAACTTTGGGGTTTTCGAGTCGTTACACGAAGAAAAACATATTAGTTCAACACGCAAGAAAGTTCAGAGTGCGACACAACGTAAAATCCATAGGAAACCGGCACAACTCTTTGAAAATTCAACGAAACTATGTGAAATATTTTCTGATCACTCAGCCAAAAGGCGCCATTTTGAAACTGGACTGAATATGCATGTCACCATTGGAGTTCGGAATTGTGCGCGTGCGTATAAGTCCATATAGGTCTATATATGGGCTAATAAACGAAAAATGCACCGCAAGCATGACATGAGCCGACTATTACGTACATAAATACCAGCTTCTTACTATTATATATGAATCGTGGAGTCAAAGAATCGATGGCATTTTGGATTAATCGTTGCACCCTGAGCCTGCGATGCGCGAACGCAAACTCGATTTCTCGACGACGAAAAAAACAGAAAACAGAAAACTAGGGATTTAAGACACTTGACCTTTCAGGTCAGTGTAATTAACGTCTTTTATAGAATCATTTGTATACACCCGTCGAAGGCTATAGACTGATAGCCGAAAGCTCGTAGAAATAAATATCAAGTCAGAGAACGTTCAATAAATAAATAAAAAATAGTGTCTTTGCTTATCGCCTAACGTCCAAAATATTAATAACACTTCTTGAAATTATAGCTGAATTTTTGTCGATTTAATCCTGAGGAAGTGCTTAATAAAAACGGATTTTCTTTTAAATACTTTAAATAACTACACCAATTTTTGGTCTTTATTGTCGCAGTGCATTTTTGAAACAAAAATATTTTTAAATTAATTTTAGTCGATAAATTCAACCAGGTGGAGATATTCCTTAAAAGTCCAGAGGAATATGCCCATGAGTGGCGGGAGTGGATGGTACGTTGGAGCAAAATGTCCTTTACAGAATTTCTCTCGTCCGGTGCCAGCTCTTCAGAATCTAAGGCGACGTTCAGACCATGGCCCGTGGAAGCAATCAATGCCATCTCAAATATTGAATATCTTGGATATTCTGAGGTAATAATAATAACCAGGGCTTATTTTTCTTAATATTATACCTCACAATAAACATATCCAATCAGAGAGCTAGATTTGTACCACATGACCATGACATTTTTGAATGAATACCATGCCCCTGGCAACTTGTACCTAGAGTTTATTTCTCATTTTACTTTGAATATTCGGCAGGCTCGTGCCGAGTCCATCAACCCGAACAACTTACAGAATTTCGAGCAGGCGTCGACAGTTAAGAGTTTCAAATTAGAACAAAATCCAACTGTCACATACCAGGTATGTGACAGTTGGATTTTGTGATACCACACTTCAGGATGTATTGTGCGAACTTTGTTTTATTCGCTGTGGTTAAGTCAGCAGTAACCATGTAACAACCGTAATATATTTTTAATATTTTTACATACGCAAACAAATTTAGTAATAGTTGTTTTAAGAAATAAATTACAGTGCGCAGAAATAAATTACATTGGGGCCAAAATTTTAGGTGGGAAATACATGAAGGAAACTTGAAGAATTTTTATCGCTTTTTTAGGTATCTATTGCAACCATGCTTTCAGAAGCGGTAGGAGGATGGCAGAGTGCTCAAATGAGAACCGTTAAGGGTGGTATGAACAAATTCCCCCATGCTTTCATAAAAAATGTTGAAGATCCCTACTACTTAGAAAATGATATCCATTACGGAATCACAGTTAGGACAGTGGAATGGCGAAAGCCTGGAGATGACAAGTGTTCATACCACGTCAAAGTGTCGGGTCGACAAACCCAGACACAAAATGAGGTTTATTTTGAAGCCGATGCTGTGATTATTACCCTTCCACTAAATATCCTCCGCCAGATGGTGTTTAAACCTGCTCTCCCACTGCGCGTGACTGATGCTATTGCAGGTATCCGCTACGAGCCGGGTACTAAGATATTCCTAGGATTTCGGGAAAGATTCTGGGAAAAGGGCAAGTATCCCATCTCTGATGGAGGAATTTCAAAAACTAATTTGCCCATCAGTATGATTGTATACCCACGAAAGATAATACATGACGACGGTGGAAAGATAAAACGGGGTGTCTTGCTATCTTACACCTTTAACAAAGAAGCCTTACACTTTGGTTCACAGTCGAAAGATGCGATTATCACAGAAGCTCTACGCGAGCTCGAAACTATTTACGAAGGGCTGCTAGGCAAAAACGTGTCCGAATCAATCACAGAATTGTTTGAATTCGGAGCAGTTCACCCTTGGTACGATGATTCGTCCGCAGAAGGAGGATGGGTTCATTTACTTCCATATAGTTATATGGACAATCTTAGAGTTCTGCTGGAACCGAAAGACATTCGTCCTATATTTTTTGGTGGGGAAGCTGTTTCGTCTGCGAATGGTTATATCCAAGGGGCACTGGAATCTGGCCTTAGAGCTGCCTGGCAGTTTTTCAAATTTAACGAGTATGTTTTAATTTCTTCATTGATATTATTTTTTCTGCCTAATCCTTTTAATGTTTTTGATGTTATATACTCTGAGTGTATATCCACACATATATACAATCTATTCTACAATCTACGTATACATATATACATATATACATATATACATATATACATATATACATATATACATATATACATATAACATTAAATATAATATATTTTATTGTACATATATACATTATCATTATTATACATAATTATGTATTATAATGTACACACATATATGTGCATTATATTCACCTGAGTACATAACATCAAAACACACGCATTACATTACGATTCAATTTTTCTAATGTAAATATCTCGGCGAGTATTTATCCCCCATTTTTTAAACGAAAACCACCATTGAAATCCTCACAAAATAACCTTTCGAACGGAGGTCAAATGCCGTCAAAACATTACACAAACCGAAACAATCATATATTTATTCACCGCTTGGCCAAACATTCTGTATTTCATATCGAGAAAAAGTTGACGTCTCAACTTTTCGTCATTTTCTCAAAGGCTATACGACTAAAATATACTCTATTAATTCACATTAAATATTTTTGGTACTGTTTAAAACATGAGCGACTGCATGTATTATATTAAATTTAAAAAACTAATTAATAATTCATGAAGAAAACACAAAGACTGAAAAATCATAAGCGTGTCGTATCTGTATATGTGATACAGATTCATGTTGATTTACATAAACTTTAACTTTCATTTTCTCGGCTTAGACAACGTTTATTTTTAAAATTACTTCGCCAATGAACTCATAAGATGAGTCGTTTTTTAAGTCATTTACAACATTCGCGTCCGTGTTGTATCAGATACAAACTCACGCCTTTGGCTCGAGTTTGTATATCCGATACAACACGGCCGCTCATGTTGTAAATTGTACATACAAGTCGAGCTGAAGACGAATGATAATTAATATATTATGGACGTGAATGAATCCCGGGATGAATCAATTCGGTATCAAACATGGAGCACACGGTTTGGAGAGACTCGCTCGAACTCATTATCTATGTTAGTCTATATAGTCTTCCGCTGCGTTGTACGTAGACGAAATCAGGGTTTCCGGCCCACGTTTCTATGCTTTTTGTATTATCATTATTTTTTCGTTAAGAAATTGACTTTACTGCCAGAATGCTCTGCGTCACCGTATTTTTATATGAAACGAAAACGAATGTGATGCATGGACATCGGACAAAACCAAATATTAGGCCCCATATATTTAATTTTATTTAATGAGCCAGTTTTTAATGTGCCGATACAATTCGGCAACAATCCATTCCACGCTTGTGAGGTGTTGCTATACGTAACCAAAGTGAACACCTGAATGAGGTGTATGTTAATTAGTATTGTATTTTCGCATGGTCCACCAATAGTCATACAGCTATTTCAATTAAGGTAAGTTGTCCCCGAGCAAAGCGGAAAAGTCAAATACGAGCGCGAAATGCTTGCTGGGAATCGCCAATCAATTCATTATTTTTTTAGCGATTCCCAGCAAGCCTTTCGCGCTCGTATTCGACTATATTGATTTAATTAATTAGGTGCAAATACAATAGACACGTGACGAACATTACAAAGATCATGTTCACTGCAAAATATCTCACTCAAAATATTTTGACTCAAAAAACTGGAGTAAAATAATGCATCTGATCCACGATAACTCAAATTTTGAATTAAATTACTCAGATTTATGTGAGAAACGTTTTTTTTGAAAAAAATTATAAAATTTATTAAATATTATTCATACAATGAGCTCAACCAATGAGGCCGCGCACAAGTTAACATAAATTTGAACTCCAACAAAATAAGCACATGGTATTCAAATTTATCAGCCCTTTAATTAATGAACTATTTTGACCGCCAATTTGGATAATTTTTTTTAATTAATCAGCAATTCTGTATCATCTAAGATTAGTTATTTTTCGTTTTTAGGCAGTCGTGCTTAAACGAAGGAATCCCTCCACCAAAGACAGGCCAAAGACCAAATCCTTTTAACGATGACGATTTTAATCCGAATGAAAGACTTAATCTTCCCTTTTTAGGCTTATCAAAATATCCTTTCCCAATTTAAAAGAGGAATGTTTTCCTCCATTGTTCAGAAATAAATAGTAGTTTCTTTACTGTATCAGCCCATTGAATGGCAGCTCAGCTCTTGACGAGTTTTCGGACAAAGAACAGTTGCTACGCCATAACATTTCGTAGAATTCAGTCTTATAAAGCTCCGAAACGCGCTGGGCAAACAAGACAGCAAATTACGCCACGAGAATGGGCCAACACATAACTTTCTGTCGTTAGGTTGGAATATCACGAAACTTTCTCACAGGATAGAACTTGACATTACTAAAAATCGTATGTTTTTTGTTTTTCGATATTGTTACATTTTGGTGGGAAAATGACGTGCCAACTTTGGCGCCAAAAAATTAAACTCGAGCTAAGAACATGCTAGGAACTTTGTTGAAGAGATTGTGCTATAAGGATCTCAAAACTGTAAAAACATTGAAAATACGCCAAAACAGTGCAAAGATATGGTGCTCAAAAGTCTGCAAAATCCGCCATCTTGTTACTAAAAATAGATTTTTTCGAACTTTGAATCGCCGTATCTTCGCACTGCCTTGTTGTATTTTCAATATTTTTACAGTTTTGAGATTCTTATTGGACAATCTCTTCAAAAAAGTTACTATCATGTACTTAGTTCGTGTTTATTTTTTTGGCGCCAAAGTTGGCACGTCATTTTCCCGCCAAAATGTAACAAAATCGAAAAACAAGAAAGATACGATTTTTAGGAATGTCAAGTTCTACCTGTGAGGAAGTTTAGTGATATTCTAAACTAACGACAGAAAGTTATTTGTTGGCCCATTCTCGTGGCCTAATTTGCTGTCTTGTTTGCCCAGCATGAAAAATTAACCTGGACTTAAGGGAGCAGTCATTATTAATGCTGGGGGTGGGGCCGGAAGATATCTGCGGGGGGGGAGGGGGGGGGAGGGCACCAAAACTTTATTAACCACTTAGGGGGGGGCTACCAAAAATATCAAAGAAAGGTGGGCCACCAAAAATAATGTACAATAATCATAAAACATCAGCAATTATAGTTCACTGTAAATGCCAATGCTATATAAGTATAGGTAATCACACGGGAAGGAGTGCAATTAAGAGAGGATGTCCACAAAAATCAAACATAAAGCGGCCACGACTGAAAAATCGATTTTGCTCAAATTTTGCCCAGATATACCTTATTATATCGGAAAATGCACCATATATTTTTTTAGGTCAAATGCTTTTTTAACTTTGAGAAAATGCCGTATTAACACGACCACCCTAAATCGCCATTTTTTCTGGGAAAATATGCGCTGATTTTACAGATAAATTTCACGACGACAACCGTTTCTAATCGATCTAAAACCCTAAAAATCTTGTTTTTGGTTATTCAAAGGACTGTGTACATGAGTTACAGGAAATCTGAGTTACTTTTAGGAATAGAAATTATCGTAGTTTTGGAGCACACTATCTTACTTCATTTACGATACCCTCTTAACAAAATCGATTTTCACCATGCGATAAAGCTCCAAATCAATCATGCTTCTACTAGTTGGCTCTTTAATAAACAAGCTTTCAATTGACGTAAATACTTCTTTTGGCAAATGAATACGCGATAAACGACAGCGCGTTGAAATCTTCCGTTTTTGACGTCTTGCAAGTGAAACGCTGTTAATTTATACACCGTCGAAGTAAACAATTTAATCAAGTATTCTAAGTATTTTACCTTTTGAGAAAAAACATATTCTTGAATGGGGACTTTTCGCTTTGCTAAGTTTAAAAGTGGTCCAGAAATCCCGGTATATTTGTAAAAAAACATCAAACATCCAGTATTTTGAGACATTGTTGACGGTTGCATGATAACTTCAGATCAATATTCAACGTGATCTACGACCCGGCCGTTTGACTTTAGCGCTAACATATACAAATCGATGAGCTATTTAAGGATTATATTTGCTACTAAATTCCCCAAAAGAATTGGAACTACAACTGCTGTTTTCAGAGGTTTTGATCCATTTTGTCCATATTAATGTACCATTTTATTTATCGACTGATGTTTACAAATACGTGAGTTAATTATTAAGCAGCTGTTAGCGTGCGTGTACAAGTGAAATGAACGTTTATAATGTTTATCCATATAAGGAGTTTTTATTTTTAGTTTACCAGCCCTTATATTTGAATAGTCGTTTTCTTTCAAGTTGTTTTCTTTTTTATACTCTGCAAAGTTGATTCCGAAATGTTAAGGTATTCAAAAAAACTATTGAACTTTTCCATGATATTTACAGAGAAACGTCACAGCTGTAACCCCCCCTCCCCCACCCTCAAAACGAACATATGACGTTTCTTGTGGAAAAAATCGATATGTGAGGCTTCCCTAAAACTGCAAGGTTTACACTATTGAATTAAAATCCCACAGACCACAACGATTATACGTATTGATTGTTTCTTGACGATAGTAGACGGGTACGTGCATGTTGCGGAAGAGGTTATTTCGCTGGCCTCAGAGTGACAAAAGGTACCCTGGCTCTAGAGGTTTAAAATAATAAACCTCTGTTTGAAAGCGGCAATCAATTCATCGAGCCGCGCCAATCAGCTTGAATTAGGGTAGATAGTCATGATAAGAAAAGGGCGGCGCCAGGGCCGCCCATGCAGGGAGGCGGCAAAGGTAGCCTGCATGGCAGGCGGTATTTCTACGGGCAGCGAAAATTAGGGAAGCAAAGGAAATACCGTCTGCCGCAAAACTAGGGGTTTTTGAATTACCCGTCCGCTGGTGAACGGGAAAAACGGATTGGTTAGTATTTTTATGTAGTTGTCAATCAACGGCTAAATTCGGTTAAATGTTAATCATTAACCAAATGTTTTGACGTTTTGAAACTCTGCGTTTTGAAATTAGTTCACGTCAAGTCAGACCAGAAATGGAATAACATAATAAAAGAAGCAAATTAAAAGATACAAGCTGAAAAATAACACTCTAAATAGTGTTATTGATAGAGATTCGAACAAGAATATTTAACAAAGAAGATACGTCCGAAGGGGCCGAAGTTATGATCGGCGAAAGGTATGGGCTAGTCTATATTTTCGTTCAGACAATTTATACATGCGTATTAATTTGATAATATACTATCTCGCTTGACTTTCAAAGGCCATAAATCGCAATAATGTTGACATTTTACTAAAACTATCGATAGAAATTAGGAGATATTTCTTCACTGAATCGAACTGTGGGATTTCCATATAGGCCTATCAGTCATGTTCTGAACCAAAGATACTTGATAGATATTAATATATACGAACCTCCAAAGTATAAACAAGGGGCCGGTTGATGCAGTAATTATCAAATAACAGTTAAACTCTTATATACCCGTTGAATATGTATAGTTGTAAACAAATAAAAACTATCGTTCTATAAGGTTCAAAACTTTCAGTTTGGTTGTTGACTGATGATGAGTCTATAGTATAGACTTGCATACTTTGTATTTTGAGCTTATTAAACCACCGTTTTAAGGCAGCTAAACGGGCTTGGTTTATATTAACACATAGAATAAATTCCTTGATTCTCATCACTAGACACAGTCTACACTTTGAAATGTCGAAGACAGTGGGAGATTTATTTTTTATACAATGACAAAATGACTGAGTTTCTTTAAAATACAATTGAAATTTCATTCAAAATTCTGTTTGTTTCAAATTGGAAGTTTAAAATGGCAATAAAAACCCTATATAAAATATAAAAAAATTAACTGTCTTGAATTATTTTGTCGGGCGGTACATTTATATTGTATAACGAAATATAAAACACTTTCACGAGGATTTTAAAACAGTTCAGTTGGGCGGTGATGAGAATCAAGGAATTTATTTTATGTTTTTATGTTAGGCAGTTGCGACTTGGGAGCAACTTGGGAGTGGCTAATTTTGAATATTTACTTAATTAATGACATCTATAAATAGCGTTGATGCTTCAGGGGCGGTAGTTCATTTACACCCAGTTTTGCGGCAGGCGGTATTTCCTAGTACCGCCTGCCATGCAGGCTACGGCAAAGGGAGCAACTTTCTCCGCGACCCCAGCTCAAGGAAGACAGGCAAATACAAATTTGCAAGGCGATAAAAAGTTTGTCGACGGAGGGGGGTAACTGTGGTTCACCGGGGCCCCAAGGGTATAATTGGCCCTGGGGTTCCATATTTCACTGAGCTGGTTTGGGCTGCACCAGTATTTTTCCGACGGGGGGAGTCATCAGTGCTCTCTTTTGATCTTTGTCAATTGGCATTAAAACCGCAAGAACTACCGACAAGTGACCAGGGCCGGATTAACGTCGCGCGAGGCCCGTGGCAAATTTTAGCGCGAGGCCCCCAAACCTCCCCCTTTCTTCTTTTTATGAAAACCATTGAATTTAAAGACACACAAAAGTGTTAAATAATTTTTTTCAATATTTCAATTTATTTGCATCAATTTCTAAACGAGATAATGGCCTGCCTGGCACAGTTGGTGGGTATAAACAGGATCATAATATAACAGCTCAACGCAACTAGAGATTATATGAACACGAGTATTGCATATTTTCCCGGGGCCGTTCTAGGGGCCCTAAATGCGTGAGGTCCCTAAATTCGCGAGACACCTAAAATGGGTGTGTCGCAATAGAAAATGGCCGTGTTCTCGTAAAAATGGGCGTAGCACAGTAAAGCGCGAGGCCCGCGGCATTTGCCGTATTTGACACGTGGTTAATCCGGCGTTAAACGAGCAACAAGCTTTCATTTTCTTTAAACGTGACGTGTGGGGAGACAATAATAATTTGTGGTGTCGCACTGGGCCAACATATTATATCTCAATGCTGCATTTTTGGGTACTAGTACTTGTGAAATGTAATAAGATCAATAGACATTAGTGTATCAAAATAAAGTAATTTTACTGATTATTTTAACTGTGCATCAAAGTAAACACACATTATTCTAAACTACAGTATTTGCTATATGCCTATAATTTGAGTTTGAGGTGGTAGAATATATAATAAAATAACAAATCCTTGTATGGATAAATGTTCA